GATGTCTCATAACCCTCTCACACAAGCGCTTGTCAACACTGCCGTCTATTGATGTTCTTCCTTTTTTTTTTTTTGGCTGTGAAACCACGGCCTGGGCCACTGATGTCACCTTGTGGACAAATTAATTGGTGCAAAAACAATTCAAGGCGTATGTGCGATCTGCGCGTGCGTGCACTCTTCCCTCGGGCCAGATGAAATGATTGGCGGGCCGGATTGGGCCCGCGGACCCGCCAATTGAATAGCACTGCTTTAGTGAATACAATACTGTGTGTAGAGCCATCCCTTTTGCACTAAAACAATTAATACAAAATACTCTTAACATATTCTGATTTAAGACGGAACTATTTAGATGAGGGTCAGATGCACTATTCCCTAAATAATTAAAATATGGAGAACAAAGATACCTCCATAACGAATTTCTCATATTTGTCATAACATCATTATATTCTATGGGTTTGAATTTGCAGACAATGCAGTTCTCTGTAACTCTATAACTGTATTTTCACAGAGGAGAGTGCCATTGAATGTGTAGCTGATATGAAGTGGGTTTTCATGAAAACTAAAATCAGAACGGAAAACAAACTGGATGAAAAAAAAAACTCCCAATAAATGTCCAAACAGCGATTCTATCACAGCATTTGTTGTGTTATATCTTGTGCATCATTTACATTTAGCATTTAATATTGATTTGCTATGAAACTTTATAATTGTTACCTATTATTGGCATCATTGTACAGATTGAGAATTCATTGCACTGATTTTAAATTCAGTTGAGGTATCTGACATAATATGACATAACATTGATCTTTTATATGCAGTGTCTGAAGAGCCATATAGGCTATAATATGTTGTTTTTAGATAAATCGCTCAGAGGGTTTGACCAACCAGTCATGGTCAGTCGTGGAAGTCTGATTGGTTGATAACGTTTGACAACGTTTAGTTCAGTTGTGAAAATAATTAATTTCTAGCACAAGAGCACGGAGAGATTTGCGAGTGCAAAGGACGCAGTTTGAGCGCGAACACCTTGAGCGAGAGGAGAGATTCGCTATTGCAACGGACACGTTTTAAGTGCGCGCACACCCTCTGGGCGAGAGTATGGCAAGCCAAAAGAGTCAGAATTACGCTATAGATAAATTAGCACCGTCAAATACACAGACCTGATAGCAGACGCCGTAAAAAACGCGTGTAAACGGTAAAAAACACCATATTTAATGGCGTTTTAGTGTTTGTAAAAAGCGCCGCTTTTAACACAGGTCGGTTTGCCACAGGACGCCGTAAAAAAACGCCGTTCTGATTGCACAAAAGCACAAGGCGTTTTCCTTGTAGTATAATGAGCCACGCCTGCTGATTTCCACAGCCAGTTAGTTTGAATTGCTCATAGGTCCCTGTAAACTGTCTTGCTTCCTGTAAGCTATCAAGGCTGCACTGCAAACGGATCTTCACTTTAATTTCGTTCACTCTTTGCTGATATACTGCACTAAATTGCCAGACACTATATAGAGATTTGAGAATCAGTGAAGACCTCCGCGATTTCGGAGTCATCAACGAGAATCGATTCCAGTGCTGGAGTCGACTCCGACTCTAGAGCTATTTAGAGTCTTATAGATACCGATCTTGGAGTCAACTCTTTTGGAGTCAACTCCCCATCCCTACTAGGGGTGGAACGGTTCAACTTACTCACGGTTCGGTTTGTATCACGGTTTTAGAGTCACGGTTTCGGTGCGGTTCGGTATGTGCTATGTTTAGGCAAAAACTATACTGTCAAATAAAAATAAAGAACATAAGAATAATCTATCTCACTACAAGCAACAGCACAAATAAATACAATAGAGTAAAGATACAAATAAATACTTACCAAGACGGGCATTTTGACATAATTTTTGTGTGAATTTGTCCTTTTAAACACAATACTTCAGAGAAAGCTTATATTTGTGCGCATTCTGAGGCACGGGTTTGCCGCTTCGGATGAGCGCACGCACAAATCTTCTCACTGCGCGTGCGAGCTTGGAATGGTTTGTCCACGTTTTTTTTTTCATCGCTGTTGTTGTAATGTATTGGGAAGCCAGAATGCGCATCCATCAACAGAAACATAGGCTATATTAGCCGAACTCTGTTTGTTTTTTGTGTTATTTATAGCAAACCACATTACAGATGCGTTGTCAGCAGTGTTGGGGGTAATATATTACAAGTAACGCAAGTTACGTAATCAGATTACTTTTTTCAAGTAACTAGTAAAGTAACGCATTTTTAATTTACAATTAGTTGCTTTTTCAAATAAGTAACGCCAGTTACTTTTTTTTCCCATTTATTGATTGAAAGCTCTCCTGTCCCCTTGTTGAGAGAAATCAGAAGATGTTACTGTAGTTCTAAAATAAATATGAATATGCATTAATTCATCTCACTCACAAAAAAA